ATGTGGTGAATAACATTTTTTGATTTCCGTATATTGAACCAGCCTTGCATCCCAGGGATGAATCCTACTTGATCATGGTGCACAATTTTTTTGATATGCTTTTGTATTCAATTCGCCAGGATTTTATTGAGAATTTTTTGCATCTAAGTTCATTAAAGATATTGGTCTGTAGTTTTCTTTCTTTGAAGTGTCTTTGTCTGGTTTCTGAATCAGGGTGATGTTGGCCTCATAGACTGAATTTGGAAGTTCTCCCTCTTTTTCTATTTCTTGAAATACCTTGAAAAGTATTGGTATTAATTCTTCTTTGAAGGTTTTGTAAAACTCTGCTGTATACCCATCCGGTCCAGGGCTTTTCTTGGTTGGTAGTCTTTTGATGGCTTCTTCTATTTCTTCCTTTGTTATCAGTCTGTTTAAATTGTGTGTGTCTTCCTGACTCAATCTGGGCAGATCATATGACTTAAGAAATTTATTGATATCTTCACTATCTTCTATTTTATTGGAATATAGTGTTTCAAAATAATTTCTAATTATCTTCTGTATTTCTGTGGTGTCCATTGTGATATTGCCTTTTTCATCCCGTATGTTAGTAATTTGAATTCTCTCTCTTCTTCTCTTCGTTAGCATGGCTAAGGGTCTGTCGATCTTATTTATTTTTTCAAAGAATCACCTTTTAGTTTTATCAATTTTTTCAATTTTTTTTGTTTCAATTTTGTTGATTTCTGCTCTGATTTTAATTATTTCTTGTCTTCTACTACCTTTGCTGTTGTTTTGCTCTTCCTTTTCCAGGGTTTTGAGATGAAGTGTGAGTTCATTTATTTGTTCGGTTTTTCTTTTTTTTTGAGGAATGAACTCCAGGAAATTAATTTTCCTCTTAGAACTGCTTTCATTGTGTCCCATAGATTCCGGTATCTTGTGTCTGTATTGTCATTTATCTCTAAGAATTTTTTGATTTCCTCCTTTATGTCCTCTGTAACCCATTGATCATTCAGTAACATATTGTTCATTTTCCAGTTGATGCAGGATTTTTTCTTCCTTTTTTTATCATTGATTTCCAGTTTCATTCCATTATGATCAGATAAGGTGCATGGTATTATCTCCACAACTTTATATTTACTAAGAGTTGCCCTATGGCATAGTATATGGTCTATCTTTGAGTAAGATCCATGTGCTGCTGAGAAGAACGTGTATCCACTTGATGATGGTTGATATATTCTATATATGTCAGTTAAGTCTAGGTTATTGATTGTGTTATTGAGTTCTAGAGTTTCTTTATTCAGCTTTTGTCTGGAGGATCTGTCTAATGGAGAGAGCAGAGTGTTGAAATCATCCATTATTATTGTGTTGTGGTCTATTTGACTTTTGAACTTGAGGAGAGTTTGTTTTATGTACGTTGCAGCACCATTATTTGGTGCATACAAATTGATAATTGTTATGTCTTGTTGGTGGATGGTTCCTTTTAACAGTATATAGTGTCCTTCTTTATCCCTTTTGATTAACTTAGGTTTGAAGTTGATTTTATTCAATATGAGTATGGCCACTCCTGCTTGCTTCCAAGGGCCATGTGAGTGGTATGATTTTTCCCAACCTTTCACCTTCACCCTGTGTATGTCTTTTCCTATCATATGAGTCTCCTGAAGGCAGCATATTGTTGGGTCTGTTTTTTTAATCCAGGTTACTAGCCTATGTCTCTTGATTGGTGAATTTAAGCCATTAACATTTACGGTTACTATTGAAATCTGGATTGTATTTCCAGTCATGTTTATTTATTTATTTATTTTAGTTTGGCTAGTTTTTCCTCTTTGGTTATTTTTCTCTCCCTTTACTGAGATACTTCCCACTGTTAGTTTTGGGTGCTATTTTTCAATTCCTCTTCTTGTAGTATTTTGCTTAAAATGCCTTGCAGTGCTGGTTTTCTGGCTGCGAATTCTTTTAACTTTTGTTTATCATGAAATATTTTAATTTCATTGTCAAATCTGAAGCTTAATTTTGCTGGATACAGTATTCTTGGTTGGAATCCATTATGTTTCAGCATTTGAAATACATTGTTCCAGGATCTTCTCACTTTCAACGTCTATGATGAAAAAATCAGCCGTTAACCTAATTGGTTTACCCTTGAATGTAATCTGCCTCCTTTCTCTCGTAGCTTTTAATATTCTCTCCTTGTTCTGTGTGTTGGATATCTTCATAATTATGTGTCTTCGGGTTGGTCTATTACGGTTTTGAATGTTTGGGGTCCTGTAGGTTTCCAGGATTTGGCAATCCATTCCATCTTTCATATCTGCAAAGTTTTCTAGGATTGTTTCATTTAATAGGTTGTCCATTCCTTTGGTTTGAACCTTCATACCTTCTTCTATTCCAATGACTCTCAAGTTTGTTTTTTTATGACATCCCATATCTCTTGGATAGATTGCTCGTGAGTTTTAAACATCCTTTCTGTGTTGACTATATTCTTTTCAAGTTGATAAACTTTGTCTTCATTATATGATGTTCTGCCTTCTACTTGATCTAGTCTATTTGTAATATTCTCATTTGAGTTTTTAACTTGGTTTTTGGTTTCCTGTATTTCTAGGATTAATGTTTCATTTTTTAAAAAAATCTCTATCTCTTGTTAGAACTCATTCTTTACCATTTGAATTTGTTTGTTTAATTCGTTTTCAAAATATACTTTCAACTTGCTGTCTCATGTCTTCTCTAATATTCCGTTCCATCTGAGTTAGGTATGCCTTGAGTTCTTTCTCTGTCCTTTTTTCTGATGCCTCTAGGTAGGTCCTCCTGTAGATTTAAGTTGTCCTGCATTGTTTGTAATCCTTTTTTCCCTTTTTTTTTATGTTGTTTACGTTACTTTCTAGCTCTGTGGAAAGTAACGTGAACAACATTAATTTTGACTGCTGTGTTTCTGCTTTCTCCTATAAATTTGTTTTGGTTTTGTATATCTCTGTTGTATCTCCTTTGTGATGGGAGAGTGTGTCTAGAAATGTTGGGCTTTATTGTACTTTAAAGCTGATTCATTCAATTCATAGAAGGCTTCCGGATTCTGTATGGATATAGTGATTTGTTGTCTGTTCTTAGGACTTTATGTTTAGGTTAGGTGCTATGATGGTATGAGGGTTAGTATGTCTTGGCTACTTTGGAAGATTGCTCTACTGAAGGGGTATACTAACAGGTGATTGGATCAGGGTGTTGGTAGTAGCTAGGTATTTAGGAGCCCTATAGACAGCCTCAAAACATTCACTTATTTGCATTTAGACAATTACATGTAATGGAAGACGTAACACTTGGGATGAAAGCTGGGGGGAAGGGGACAGAAGGTGCTCTTAAAAAGAAAGAAGGAGAGAGAGATATATAGATTAGAGGAGAATGGAAAGAACAATAAAACTTGAAACAGGAAAGAAAGAAAGAAGAAAAAGGGGAGAAAAGAACAAAGAGAGAAAAAAAAGAAAAAAAATTGAAGTCTGAGAGATCCATTTTCTTCTCTTCCAGTAGGCGGAGCTGTGCCCTCCACGCTGAGCTTCTGCCCTCTATGTGCCGATAGCAATCCATGTAAGGCAGGTCCTGAGAGTCTCTCAGTCCTGTTAGTCCAGATCCCTATCACTTCTCCGGCCCCTCCCCTCCCCCCTTCCTTCTGCCAGCCAGCCAGCCAGGTCCTGTTCACCGGAGGCGGTTCCCCAAAGATCTGGTTACACTTGAAGCCCCACAACATGTCCTATTTCCCAAATGACTGAGTGCTCTCTCCATCATTCATCTAAGCCTCAGTGCTGTGGTGTGGTGATCTGGGGATCAACAGTTTTAATTTTTCCGGACCCCTTTGGTGGGCATGTCCCTGGAAACTGGTGGCTAAGACCTTGGGTGTCGACGCTGGTGATAAGGGGAGTTGGGGATTGGGAATCCCCTCTGCTTCCCTACAGACACACCCCCAGCGAGATTCCTGAGGTTTCCTGGCTGCTTTTATCTGGAGGGGGTTGGAGTCACACACCTGCTAAAGTGGATTCCGCTGGGAAGGAATTCCGTCGCCGAACTCTGGTGACGTCACCTCTTTGCTATGGCGGGCCCTAGGCTCCTTGCCCGAGTGTCCGAAGGGAGGGGTGGGTCTGGTCTGTCTCTGGTTGATTTCAGCTCCCGGTTCGCTACTTCATGAAAGCCTGGCTAGAGACTTCTTCCTAGAGTCCCTGCGCCTTACCTGCTGGGCCGACCAGTTGCGGGGGGCCGTGGGTGAGCGGTCGCCAGCGGGCGGGAGGTCACAGAATTGAGTCACGTGGGCAGCGGCTGACACGGCTGGCGGGTCCGGACCTCTGCGCTGCACTGTGTGGCGGAGATTCACTCGTCTGGGGCAAACTGTCACCTCCAAAAATCCTACCAATTTCCGGCCGGTCTCTCTTCAGTGGAATTTCACCAGGAGCCTCTCAACAGGTAGAATCCAAGCATATCGATGCGTCTCTCTGAACCGTTACTGAGGAGGTACTGAAAGCGCTGCCTCTCCGCCCACTGCCATGTTGGATCCCCCCACAAACTACATTTCTGATAAAGGACTTTATCTAGACTATATAGAGATCTCTCAAAACTCAATAATAAGAAAGCAAACCATTTAATTGGAAAATGAGCCAAAGATATGAGAGGATATTTCCAAAGAATGTTATAAAAAGATGTTTAACACTGTTGAAGTAAAAATCAAAACCACAGGAGGTGTCAGCAATACTATTTAGCAGAATGCCCTGCCCCCACCCCAATATATACATTACCAAATGCTGGTGGGGAGGATGCAGAGATGCATTCAAATATTGTTGGTGGGAAGTAAAATGGCACAGCCATCCTGGAGAGAGTATGGCAATTTTTTTAATCTAAATATTTACCCAATAATTATATTTCTAGGCATTTATCCTTGAGAAATAGAAGCTTAGTTTTGCCCAAAAACTTACACATAAACATTCATTGCACTTTTATTTGTGAAAGTCCCAAACTGGAAAAAGCCTAAAATTCCTCAGTGGGTGAATGGTTAAATAAACTATGGCACTACTGTACCATACAATGCCACTCTGCCACAAAAACAAAACTATTGCTACAAAGAACAATTTGGATAGATCTCAGGGAGTTATTCTGAGTGGAAATGTCAATTTCAAAAGGTCATATACCATAGGATTGCATTTATATGATATTCTAGAAATGACAAAATTCTAATAATGCTAAACAGATTGGCAGTTGCTAGGGCAGGGAGTGGGGTGTGACCATAAAGGGGTAAAACAAGGGAGATCTTTGTGCTAGTAGAAGAGCTCTTTATCGTGTTTGTGATGGTAGTTAAAAGAATCTAATCTAAATAGAATTATACCCAAACATTGTAGTAATGTAAAATTTCTGGTTTTGTTATACTATAAATATTTAAAATGTAGCTATTGGTTGAAATTGGTCACACTGGGACCTGTTATTCTCTGTGACTTCCAGTGAGTCCATAATTATAAAGAAATATCGGTTTCCTACATGCTAGCTGTCATCATAAACCTCTGCAATTATAATCCAGGCAGAAGCCCACTTCTGGCATCCCAAAGTTCTTGCTGTTTTATTGATGATATACAACATAAACTGTTTCTTGTTGTGCTTATTTTGTTGTATGTCTGAGTTCCTAAGCTTGTCTCCAAGTTCACTGTGGTAGGATTTAAGTCTTGCCTGCCAGATTTCAGAGCTGTTAACAGAGTGGTTGTTTAATGCATGTGAATTTAATGTGTGCAGTGAGACAGTGGGGACTGGGAGACTGTGGTGCCAATGGCTCCTGTGCAGCTGAGCTTCAAGTGAGGGAGGGGACAGATAATTACACTCTCTAGGGAGGTAACTGGGGCATGGGTGAGTCAGTCCTGGGAGAAACAATTTGCCCTGAGGCCTCAAGATTCCCTACACAGTCCTTTTGGGTATGCTCTAAATGTAAGGTCCTGACCACTCTTTGCTAGTACTGTTTCTCAGGGTTGTGTTTTAGCAGCAACCTTGGAGGATAAAAAGTTCATATAAAAAGAGCTGGGGATGCAGCTCAGTGGTAAAGTGCTTGCCTTGCATGCACAAGGCTCTGAGTTTGATTCCCAGCAAGGGGAGGAAAAAAAAGTGCTTAAACTTTACCCCCAAGAAAAAGCAGGCTTGCCTACTGCTGTTAAAATATTGTTAAACTCTCTGAGCTTAGTGCTCCTCAGCTTCCATACAAGTCCACTGCTGATGTAGTATCTACCAGGATCCCTCTATCTTGCCCCCTTGGGACTTGGGATGTTCTTGCAGCTTGACGGTGCCCTGAGTCCTCTGTCTCTAACTCATGAGTCTTTCCAGCTTCCATGAAACCTTGACAGGCTCATTTGTTAGACATAAAATTCCAGACCCTGTTAGAGTGGTTTTTCTGAGAAGCAGCATGCTGTTCTGGCCTAGTTTTAGGCTCTAAACAGAAAGTCAGTACCTCAGGTGGTTCTGAAGGTACCTTGTTCCCCTTGATGATAAACTGTCCCCTAACTTCATAGCCACCTGGCCTCTTGCTGTGGCCTTTGAGTGATGAACTCATACCCCAAGAGGTCTTTTAGGGACAAAACTCAGGCCAGGTCACTGCCAAATGATGGGCGTCTCTAGATCTCATTCATACCCTGTCATTTCATTATCCCTGTGCTTGAAAGTTATCATCAGTATCAACTCCATCTGTTTACTTCTTCACAGGACTGCCAGTCGAGAAGACTCCATGGGGGTGGGGAAAGGAGGCAGAAGACAGCCCCCTGCCTTCTGAGAACATTGAACTCATTCAAACAC